CACACACACACACACCTGCAGATTTTCTATGGAGAAGCTGGTGTTTATTTGTTTGGATAGTGTGTATTCTAGTGTGTGTGTGTCTGTATCCTGTAAATAATAGTTCTGTTCAGATTTATATTGAAGTTGTTGTATCAGCCGCAGTTGAGCTGCAGACAGTTCAGAACTACTGCAGATAGTGCAACACCCGCACCCACACACACTCATACAAGTGGAATACATGTCAATTGTTATGTGGACTGGTTTACCACCTGATAATGAAGACAATAGAGCAAAAGGAGGGCCAGTAAAGTAAAGAAACAATCAATGAAAGCAAACAAGGGGACAGGAGAGGCAGAGGAAAATAAAGATGCACAAAAGGGAACAGAGGGTAGATAGTGTGTGTTGCTGTTCTTGGCTCTGCAGTTGGAGAAGATTTAGTGATGAGAAAAACAAGGTCTGTATAATGACAGATAGGGTGTGCTTGCCTCCTACCTTTTATTTGTGTGTGCATAGGAGTTTATCACTCTTCTCTGTAAACAAGTTGGTTACTCTAAATAATCATGGATTATCAAGTAGCTGGCTTGTCTAGATTTGATTATGAGCCATTTTGTACAGGAGCATTTAGGCAAATGGCTTTGATACTGATCTATCTATAAGGCTGTACTTCTGAAGCTATCCTACCACTTCTTTTAGTAACTATGACACCAGATCAGAGGATTGGTGAGTTGTAATTATTCAAGCATGATGTGTTTGTACAAAGTACATTTTACCTAGACTGCTTTCTGTTGTACACAGAAAGCAACAGGAAGCAACCACAAAGCACTTGAGCAAAGCAATGTGGCTTCTCTTTATGCAGTCTCTTTCAGAAAAGCGCCAACAGACATCAAATGCTTTTTCCTTATCCAATCAATCACAATCAAGGGGACAGTGGGATACGTGTTTCTTTAGTCATTGCTTTTTAATGAGTAGAATGATAAGCAGGGGGGGTCACATGAAATATGGCACCATGCAGCTGAAATGATCAGTTTCTTATTAAAAACAAGGAGTGAAATGTGTGTTTCTCACCTGAACAACTGTACTCCTATTAGAGCTGTGTGTGAACTACCTGTTAAATGTTGAATTATATGAAGAACTTTAATACCTCCTCAAAGACTTTAAAGCAGTAACCTTTCACATTTTCTATGATTTGGTCTTTGGTTGTGGTTTTAAATATATGCACTTGCATGTGACAGTCTTGTCATTACTACACATGTTCCCCTTTCTATTTAATTTTACTGTATGAATGTTTGAGCCTCACTTTAGAAAGAGAGAGAGGCATCTTGATGAAAAACATGAAGAAAAAAATGTATTGCCAGGGCTAGCTTTGACAGCTAGGAGCATATCCAAATGAATTTTGAGCTCGGTGAAAAAGAACTTGATGGATAAGGAAGTGGGTAAAATGATTTTAATCTGCTTGAGTGCAAAAATATTGCTTAATGAGTGTCAATTAAGAAAAGATAATCAAAAGAATTTTTTAATAAGCCATTAATCAATTGACAAATGAGAACAATGCCTACACATATGTGCTTATATGAGCTGCTCCTGTGTGAGTTCATACTATAGTAACTAACAATACTAAACTATCAGACTGAATCAACCAATCAGGCTTTATTTGTATAGTACATTTACAAATACTCAACATGACATGATGATGTGAGGTCACGTGCGGTTGTGGTGGTGGCTCGACACATTCAATAACCAACAAACACATACAAACACCCAATCAATAATCAATCAATGAAACTCAATAAAAACACAAACTGAGGAAACGCTACCTCATCAATTTGCAGTGAGGAAACACTGGAGGAAGGATGAGGAAAAGGTAAAAATAAGAATAAGAAAAGGATATACCAAGTAATAAAACTGAGCCAAATGTGTAAATAGACCAGATAAAAAAGCGCTGAAACAAATAAAAAAACTTGAATAATAATACCAAATAAATGAAAAAACAATTAAAAGTCAGACTAAAAGGGTAGGTCTTGAGTTTGCTTTTAAAAATATCAATACTACAGTCAGATTTGTAACAAACAAACTAGTAGAAAATAAAAATGAAATGTTGTTTTTTGTATTAGTACCTGTAACCTGTGTGCGGACTGGTGCAAATAGTAGACAAATTTGCTTGGCTGTAAATTGAAGGGACTGTGTCAGCCAACACAATAAGACATTTTCAAGATGTGCAATTTGGGTCCAGTTAAATTTGACAGTTGCAGTCTTTCTATTTCCATACCCTATTGTTACCATTTCTTCCACATGGCTAGGAACTGGGGGATAGCACCTCTCTCACAACAAATTCACTTTATTTCCAGACCAACTAGTGTACAGAAATTAAATTCAAAAATATAATCCATATTGAAGGAAATCAGACAATCGTCCATAACACATCAAATCATCATCATAACTATCAAATACCCATTTTCATAATGGATGAATAACCTACTAAATAAGAGTTGACACCACTCCTTCGCTTTTAGTGGGATTAACCAGCACATTCATCATGTAGCTTTTCATCTGATCCCATTACTTCTCAAACATTTTTTTCCTAAAAACAATCCAACTGCTCCGAGCATTACACACTCGAATATACATGAACCAAGCAAACTGAAAATGCCTTTAAATGAATGAATGCTGTTCAAATATCTTACATAAGTAAGACACAGGAGCATACAGCAAGTCCTGAATCAGGCGTGAAATATATGTACAGGCCCTTCCCCTTACCATACAACTTACAACACTGTGATGACATACTGACGTCATCCTTTAAATCATATGTTATAGGCATAGGATGACGAAGATATAATACCTCACTGTCTTTTGAATGTATAGGATGTCACAGTTCCCAAAAAGCTCACAGACACTTTGCCTTACACATAGACCAAATATGTTATATGACTTAACCTGGATTGTTTTGGTTTTCTTTCCTAGAATTAGCTCTATATGCTTCTATTTATTCTGTTGCAATGATAGTTGCTCCCAGGGCAGTGCCATTCTTGGGTTTTCCCTGCTCTGCATAGTTTCATTATGTTTAGATTGTGGCAGTGAGACCGTCTCTTGTTTCACTGACTCTGGTATGTTCAACTTTTTTGTCCCCTAAAGCTTAGAGTGTCTTTCTTGTAGCACTCAAGCATTACTAGTTCATAGCAATGAATGCATTCAGTGCATCATCACTCAACTGACTTCTGTGTAGCTGTTAGGCTTACTAACTGCACATTATGCTTGACAGGCTGCTCTGTTTATACAAAGTTGTGTACAGAAGAGGCCACAAATAGCTGGCAGTGTTTCAGCAAGACAGACAATATGCAAACTGCGAGTTAAGCAGTCAGTCATAGTGTCGCAAGTAATGTGTCTGAATGATTAACTATCAGACCTGCCTTTTATTTACCTTACCAAACACTGCAGGCCGGTGCTTGTGCCTGTGTGTGTGCGTGTCCACGAGGGTAGCGGAGAGAGAGAGAGAGAGAATGTAAGAATGACTAACAATGCAATTGGGTAAACAGCTCAGGACAACACTGATGCAGCACAAAGAATCTAATTAGCACTGATGGAAAAATAATGTACATATAAGTATATCAGTATATGAATGAATACATATATGCAGCAAGTCTACACGTTTTACACAGGCTTCACCTTCTAAAGAGCTGTAAAGGAAATATAGGTTATTCCATTTAATCCTGCAGAAGTGACACACTCACCTCTCTTCTACCAGTGACCACTTCTCTGCAGGAGAAAGTCTAGGTGGTTATTAGGGCAACATATGTCATCAGCCACCTCCCTGCTACAGTCTGACGTCCTAAGAGGCTGGCAACAATGACAGGCAATTTTCCTTTGTTGTACTTCATGGCCAAAGACACGGGGCTTCTAAGATTAGCATGGTCATTACAAGTAAACGCTCCGACCCGGATTTAAGAAGTAGACCAAAACTTCACAGGGTAGTCCAAAACTATCAAAACAATCATTTATGTTTTTCAATTTACTCATGTATTATCTATTTGTTGTAGTGAAGCACCAGATAATATCTAGAGAGAGTCTACAGAAAATATTTTAAGTGCACAGAAAGAGAAGTTAAAGATGTTTCAATATAAAACATATTAAAAATGAGCACATGCCAGACACGTTCAAAATGCACTCAATAAAAAGGTTGAGAGCTCAGAACCAGCAGGGTGCCGACCTTGTCTTAGCAGGGTGTCTACAAGTTCCTGCTGACAAGTGGTTCCTAAAAAATCATCAGAAACCTTTCTGAACTTAGTCCCATCATTTATTGGGCACTTGCCCAGTTAAGAGTCTTAGCCTTGAATATTGCCCTAGGTTTCTCCCCAACTGACATGCTAATTCCCAGTTATGCTCACTAATGAATGGAAAGGTTATTTTCTGTTAGAGAACTATAATCTGGAAAAGCAAAATGTCTCCCAAGTCTGGCTTGAATCTCCATCAACCCCCTAGAGAGGCAGCAGGACGCCAGCATCAGCCCGGCTGAAGCGGTGACATTTAGCCCTCACAACAAGCAGAGCTGAGCAACGCCAAACCAATATATCTCCCCTCCTAGCTGTAGCCCAGAGGCTGGCTGACCTTCTCCACACAGTAACAAAAAGAAATTCAAAAAAATTTACAGCAGATTTATTTATACCACAATCCAGTGGGGGATTGGAGATGTATTAAATATGTTTTTCTTTTCTTTTTTAACACTACTCCAAACAAGTTTCACTAGGCATATTATACTTATGGTATTAATACACACCTGAAAGTTGCTCCATAAAAAAACATTGTTTTCTGCTGTTAACAAGTTCTGCTATAACAAGGTGTTTTTCAGCAGAGACTGAGACTTGATGTGATATCAGTCTCAGCCATGTTTCTGTAAATTCCAAAC